GCACATTACCTGCACTCCACGTTTCCCACTCCGGGACCCAGCCCCGCTCGTACCTTCTGGGCTGGAACCCCGAGCGCCCCCCCCACGACCCAAACCCCGCCGCGCGCAGGCGCACTCCGGCTGGACTGCGGACCCGCGGGGCCCAAGCAATTGCTTTTCTCATTGGCCGTGCTCCTCGCTAGCGCCGGGCGGGGGAAGCGCCTGGGAGACTGCAGGTGGTCACGTGACAATTGCTCCTGCGCTCTCGCTGGTGGCTCTCCCGTGGGCTAGAGCGGCCGCGGGCGGGTAAGTCCGACTTCCGGCGGCGAGAACGGTGCTTCCGGGGCGGGCAGCCGGGCCGAGGGAGGTGGGTCTGACAGTTGGCGCCGCCGGGAGGGCGGGCGGCGCGAGTGGGCGCGGGCCCAGAGGGCCAGGTGAGGCGCGGGCCAGGGGTGGTTGATCTGGGTTGGATGCGGAGGAGACGAATGGCGCCCCGGGATTCCGGAGTCAGTCCTGGCGCCGCCGTGCGACTCTGGACAAGCGATTTCTTTCTCTGGATCTCAGTTTCCTGCTCTGTAGAATGGGGGTCACAATGTGACTATAGCATCCTCTTTCTAGGTTGGAGTGAGAAGTCAGCTCGTGCTTGTCGGAGCCCTAGCTCAGCGCCTGGCACACTGCACACTTCTTTGCCATGCTATTATTGTTTCTATTGTTGATGATGTTTGTGTTTGATACGGAAGATCAGGGTGTGGGAGCGTGAAACTGGGAGCCAATAGATTTCAATTCAAGTCCTAAGCTACACTTTGTGGTAGCGGACTTGTGCCTTCCCTTATCTGAACCTCGTTTTCCTCGTCTGTAGCATGAAGGCTAATAATCCCTTCATCATATCATAGAGTTATTGTGAGCATGCTGATGAAATGTGCGTGTAAAGTCCTCAGCATAGGGCCTGACGGTTGTAGAGCAGGAGCTCAATAAATAGATCCGGACTATAATACTAATACTGGTCATAGCAGACACCCATTAGGTGTTTAGGTCCCTATAGTCAAAGCTATGGTTTTTTCAGTAGCCATATATATGGATGTGAGTGTTGGATCATAAAGGAGGCTGAGCGCTGAAGAATGATACCTTCCAGTTGTGGTGCTGGAGAAAACTCTTGAGAGTCCCTTGGACTGCAAGGAAATCAGCCCTGATTATTCATTGGAAGGACTGATGCTAAAGCTGAAGCTCCAATACTTTGGCCACCTGATGTGAAGAGCCAATTCATTGAAAAAGACTCTGATGCTGGGAAAGATTGAAGGCAAAAGGAAGAGAGGGCGGCAGAAGATGAGGTAGTTTGATAGCATCACCAACTCAATGCACATGAATCTGAGCAAACTACAGGTGATAGTGAAGAACAGGGAAGCCTGGTGCACTGATGTCTGTGGGGTTGCAGAGAGTTGGACATGGCTTAGTGACTAAACAATAACTACATAATGATTCCAGGAGTCATCGGTGTAGATGAGACTAGCAAGTAGAGAAGAGGAAGAAACTCAGAGACTTCAGCTTTCCTTCACTTTTCCTTCGTGATAGGAAAGACTTTGAATCTGCAGCTAGGCAAATCGACATCCTGCCACCTATTTTGTCTTATTTTGCTGAGTCCCGTAGTATTAGGCTTTCCTTTTTCTTTGAAACCACTGGTTCATTTTTCTCCGGTCAGTTCATTTGAGAAGGAAAATTTGTATTGCTTTTCTAATGGAAAACTAGCATTGCTTGGCTGTGGAAAGGAGAACTTAGCCTGAACTCCAGTGGAAACAGAATGGTTTATTACATTGTAGATAGAAAAGGAAAGAATTGAAAAAGGAATTACTTCTATTTTTGTGATTCCATGCTGTCAGGTCTCATGGATCCTGTCAAGTTATACTCTGTATTCAGCTCACACTTGGCATATGATGGTCTTGGCTTAGTGATTGTCCTACCCTTTTCTTTTATTTTATGCACATATACAAAATCTACTGAGCATCGTTCTAACAGCTTGGCATTTAGGAACTCTTAACCCCACTAAGCACTTTAAAAAATAGATATGCCTATCCTTTTTTTTTTAATTTGAGTATAGTTGATGTACAATAACTCCTATCATTCTTATTTTGCAGTTGAAGGAATTGCGATCCAGAGAGGTTAAACCACTTGCCTTAGAGTCAGGGTTAGGAAGTGGTAAGATCAAGCTTTGGAGGCAAGCCTTCTAAGGGTTGAACATAGGGAGTCTGGTGCATGGTAATTACTTGAATTTTGGAGAGCTGTCATTTTTCTATTATTGTTAATATTATATAATTTTCCCTGTTCAGAAAGTCAGCGTGGGAGATGGGTTTTTAATGGTGGAGAGAGAAAATTGAGTCTAGCAGGAATTCTGCAGCTGTAGTGGGAGGATGTCGCTATTGTTCAGTTGCTCAGTCGTGTCTGACTCTTTTGTGACCCCACAGACTGTAGCCTGCCAAGCTCCTCTGTCCATGGGATTTCCCAAGCAAGAATACTAGAGTGGGTTGCCATTTCCTCCTCCAGAGGCTCTTCCAGACCCAGGGATCGAACCCGAATCTCCTGCACTGCAGGCAGAGTCTTTACCACTGAGCCCCCAGGGAGGATACCAGTACCTAAAGGCTTCTAGTAAGTATTAACTGAAACTTTGCTGAGACAGACCTCAGTGTCCAGCTCATAGTAATCCCTTGACCAGTGGACTGACTTGGGTTCACATCCTGGCCCCTCAGTTGCTTGCTGTGTGACCTCAGGCCTGCCACTGTCCCCTGTAACTTAGAGATTGTTTTTACTTTCTCCCGCAGGTGGTGGTGACGAGGCACTGAGGTGTGTTCATAAGCAATGCCAGGCACATGAACGCTCATCAGGAGCTGCTGCATGGGCACTGGAATCAGGGAGAACTTGTTTTTGTTTTTGAATCCCAGTAAAGCTCTGGCTTGATGTGGCATTTGGCAAATGACTGCACCACAATGAGTCAGTTTTGTTTTTTTTTTCCATTGATTAAAATGTGGCTAATGATAGTCCTTACTCATGAGGAGGTTGTGAGGCGTCAGCGTGATACCTGGCACCATTCCTGGTGCATAGTTAGTGCTTGGTATGTGCAGTGTTGTTGTTCTGTCTGGCTAACTGAAGCCTCCTTCAGGCCTTGCCCTTCGAGAGATGCTGGTTGTGGTGTCCTTGTCCAGTGGTAATATCCTGAAGGGAAAGGGCATTTTAGGAGCCAAGTACGGGATCAAGTGATGCCTGTGGTCATGTTGCTCATCCTAGTTGAGGGTGGAGGAGAGAGCGTCACCCTGGGGACTTTGGGAAGACATCACAAAGCAGGCGGCAGCCATGCAGAGTGATGGGGAGCTTGCTAGGAGGACAGGTGAAGCAAGCATGCAAGGCACAGGTGACATTCTGTGTGAAGAATGGGTGGCCGGCAAAGCCCTTGGGTGTTGGCGGGAAGGCTGGAGTGGGAGGCCTGGGGGACAAGAAGAGCCAGCACTTCTAGAGTACTTAGCATGCACCAGGCACTCTTAGGTGCTTTATGCATAGAAACTCATCTGGCCCCACAGCAGTCCTCTGGGGTAAGTCATGTGTGTACCATCCTGGTGTACAGCTGGGGACACTGAGGCCCGACTGGTGAAGTTGCTTGGCAAGGTCACACAGCTAGTAAGTGGTAGAGCCAGATTTGAACCCTGCAAGTCTGGTTCCAGAGTCCTTACTTTTTAAAATAATTTTATTTATTTATGTATTTTGGGTTTCGGCCATGCTGGGTCTTTGCTGCTGCACAAGGCTTTTTCTAGTTGCGATGAGCAACTTTAGCTGTGGCACACGGGCTTCTCTTTGTAGTGCCTTCTCTTGTTGCGGAGCACAGGGTCTAGGGCGCGTGGGCGCTGTAGCTGTGGTTTCTGGGCTCCAGAGCACAGGCTGAATAGTTGTAGTGCACGGCATTAGTTTTTCCGTGGCATGTGGGAACTTCCTGGATCAGGGATCAAACCCATGTCTCCTGCATTGGCAGGCGGATTCTTTACTACTGAGCTACCGGGGAAGCACCCTCTCCCCCACCTTTTTTTGGCTGCGCGGGCTCTTCCTTATGCTGTGTAGGCCTCTAGTTGTGGTGCTCCGGGTTAGTTGCTCCTGGCACTTGGGTTTAGTTGCCCTGCAGCATGTGAGATCTTTGTTCCTCGACCAGGGATTGAGCCCACATCCCCTGCTTTGGAAGGTGGGGATGTGGGCTCCCCACTAGATCTTGGGGACTTAGGGAAGTCCCCAAGAGTACCGTCACTGTGATACCATCAAAATAGTGGGTGGGAAGAGGCAGGTGGTAGGTGATGGTCCACTGAAAGGAGCTGGACAGTGGGCCTTCTGCACCCTGTAGGTGGTGGAGGGGTGGGGGACACGAGTCAGAACTGGGGGTTGGCATGAGTGCAGGGGAGCAGTGTAGGGGGAGAGGGCAGGGACAGAAAGGAGGACGGCCAGGGCAGGGCAGCGTGGGACACGGGGGGTCCTGGAGTCAGGTAGTGGCAGATCAGGTGAGGAGATTATTTCTTTTAGTTCTGTTTCAGCACTGCCGTTCACGTGCAGGAGAAGGTCTCCATTGGTGCTCATATGTCATGTGTCTTTCTGGCACCCGCTGACCTTATCCAAGAGAAAACTGGTTTTGCGTTTCTGCCCTGGGGCCCCTCCTGAGTGGAGCCCCGCCTCCTTGTCCCTGGCTGCTGTCACTCACCTCCTCGCTCCCTCTATGGTCCCTGCGGGCTCCTGGCTGCCCCACGGACATGCCCGATGGGCTTCTGGCTCAGGGCACTGAACTTGCTGTACCTTCTCCTGGAACACTCTTCCTCTCTAAAACTGCATGGCTCACTTCTCCACCTCCTTCAGTCTCGTAAATGTCACTTTGGAGAGCTCCTCCTGGGGACTTCCCTAGCGGTCCAGTGGATAAGACTTTGCGCTTCCACTTCGGGGGGCATGGGTTTGATCCCTGGTCCAGAAACTAAGATCTCGCATGCTGCGTGGTGGGGCCAAAAAGTTTTTTTAAGAAACTAAAAAAAAAAAAAACAACAACAGAGCCCTTCCCTGACCACCTATTTAGAATTGTAAGCCATCCCTTCCTGGGCCCTCCCTGTTTTCTCCATGATACCGAAGGCTTTCTGACACACGACACTGTCAGCTGGTTTGCTTGTTATTTTCTGTCTCTTAATCGTGTCACCATGTAGAGGCCAGGCTCCTGGTTTTTGTTCACCTCTGTATTCCCGACCCCTAGAACAGTACCTCATACCCAGTAGGTTTTCAGGAGAGAGTTTCGAATGAATGAATGGGTATTTATGGTTAAGGTCTTGGGCCAGGGAGGGTCTTTTTTCCGTCCCTCTCTTTTCCAGCCAGAAACTTGGGAGGCGTGTGGGGACGGAGCTGTGGACATTTGCTGTCCCTGGGCCTTGTCCCGGGCAGGAGTGATCTGTGCAGTGACAGCTCTGCCCCAGGCTGACTTCCTGCCAGCTGTCCGGGCTATTCCTGGGCTGTGAGCCCCCAGCCCAGGAACTCTCTTCTGGCAGGCAGACAGACAGGCGGCAAGAGACGGACAGACACTTAGCTGCCGGCGTCTCCTGAGCACTCTCCCCTTGTCCTCTCTTTCAGGCTCCAGGGAGCGGCGTGAAGGCCTGCGAGACAATGGTCTCAGTGACTATGGGTGAGTCTTCTCTCAAGGGCCCCCCTCCCCGCTCCCCCTTTTTGAGGTGAGACCTTGGGGGGGCGCGGTTGGGGGAGGGAGGGCCGGTCACTGGCAGGAGCAGCTGTGCTCTGAGGAACCTGGAGGCAGGGCCAGGCCTGCTCAGGGCTGACTGCCTCCTCTCTGATATCCTGGCCTCCTGACAACGTACTATGGCCGTAAAGAACTTGGGTTCTGGAGTCCAGCAGGTCACCCACATGACCCCTCAGAGCCTTGATTTCTCACCTGCAAAATGGAGACCATAACATCCTGGGACGTTAAGTATTAAGGAGGTGATTACGTGTAAAGCCTTGGGCCTAGTTCTCAGCAAATGTTAGCTGTTACTATTCTCATGAGCTTTATCAACATTCTCTTTAAACTTTGTACTTGGGGATTGCCAAAACACAGAGATTATTAGCCAGTCGCTTTTAAATTTTTGGACATTTGAACATATAGAGAAGTATGTAAAACATATTTGAGTGATCATGAGAGCAATTAGAAAGAAAACGTCTGAGTACGTCCTTTTTGATTCCATTGACATAAAGCACAGGAGGGAACTTCCCTGGTGGTCCAGTGGTTAAGACTGCACTTTCAATTCAGGGAGCATGGGTTTGATCCCTGTTCAGGGAACTAAAATTCCCACATGCTGCACAACATGGTCAAAATAAAGTAATAAAATGAAGAAGCAGGCACAATCAGTCTATGCTGCTAGAAGGTGTTGATTGCCCTTGGGAGGCAGAGAGAAGTGACTCCCTAGGGAATGGGGGGCCAGGGGAATGCTTATAGAATGTTGGAAATGTTTTACTTCTTGATCTGGGTACTGGTTACATGGGTGTGTTGGTTTATGAAACTCTATCGACTTGTGTGCACTTTTGTGAGTGTATGTTATAGTTTAGTAAGAAAGGTTTTAAAAAAGCCTGCACGCATCTAACCATCCAGGTCGAGAACTAGAATATTGCCTGCCTACCTTGAGGCTCCACCCCAGTCACACCACCTCCCTCCTTCAGATGGAATCTACCACAATCTTCTCTTTGTGATCATCTCTTCTTACCTTTCTTTGTAGTTGTACCACTAATGAAAATGTTCCTACAGACTTGGTTTTGGATTTACATGAAGGAAATCCTGCCAGCCTTGTGTTCTTTGGTATCTGGCTACTGTTGCTCGGCACAATGCTGGAGCCTCATCTCTGGTGCTGTGTGTAGCTGTAGTTCTTGCCTTTTTTTTTTTTAAGTTCTTATTGAATTTGTTACAATATTGCTTCTGTTTTAATGTTTTCTTTTTTTGGCCAGGAGACTGGTGGGAACCTAGCTCCCTGATCAGGGGTAGGTCTTACATCCCCTGCAGTGGAAGGGGGAATTCTCAATTCCTGGACTGCCAGGGCATTCCCTGTAGTTCTTGCTTTACACTGCTCCGTAGTATTGACCGTGTGAGCGATCGACTGTCATTTCTTTGTCAGTGCTGCTGTCAGTGGATACTGTTTCTAGATTGTGAGACTCGCTGCTAGGAATATTCTAGTGCCTGTCTTCTGGTGTGAACAGCAAGCCACCCATTTGAGTCCCAGACATGCATTGTGGCCTGTATTAACATTTCTGAAATGGGGTGCATCTTACAGCTGGTGCTGATGACCATTTAACTGGCAGCAGGTCTTCCTCCTTCATAGGACACACATGATGATGAAGGCTGGATGCAGGGGCTCTCGCAGTTCCTGGACTTTGCGTCAGGCAGCTGGCTACCTCCAACCTGTGTGGTGTTTCCTTTCTGCCAATAACAGCTTAGTTGTGATACGGTTCATATTTCATACAACTCATTGATTTGTTTTTTTTCCCCTTTTTGGCTGTGCTGGGTCTTGTGGGTTTTCTCCAGTTGCTGCGAGTGGGGGCTGCTCTCTTGTTGCGGAGAACAGGCTCCAGGGCACACACCTTCAGTAGATGCGGTTCACAGGCTCAGTAGTTGTGGTCCACGGGCTTCGGTTCTCCATGGCATGTGGAATCTTCCCAGGCCAGGGATCGAATAGGTGTCCCCTGCATTGACAGGCGGATTCTTAACCACTGGACCACTAGGGAAGTCCAGTGGTTTTTAAATTCTGTGTTTGTAGAGTTGTGCATCCATCACCACAAGCAATTTCAAAATATTTTCCTCACTCCCCCCAGTTCCCAAACACCCATTAGCAGTCACTCTCCCCTCCCCCCTGCTCTCCCGCTCCAGTCCCTGGCAACTGCTCTTCTATTTTCTGTCCCTATAGATCGCCATAGATTTACCACTTCTGGACATTTCACATAAATGGAACTATTATGTGGTAGTTTTTGATACTTAGACAAAGCTGCCTGCTTTTGGCTAAAGGAACCCAGGCCCCCCCATGTCTTGACAGATGGAAAGTGCTTGTGCAAAGAAGAAAAAAGTCCATCCTTTCCTCAAGGCTGGTAGAAGTCCTGGTAGAAGAAGGCTGTGAGCGCCTCACTTGCCGCCAGCCTGGAGAGAGTGGCCTGTGCTGGGTGGGTGGGGGCCTCCTCAGGAGAGGATGTGCCTGAGATCCCCACCGCCCCCCACACAGCATCTCATCCAGACTGTGTCACTTGCCCTGCTCTGAGCCTCAGTTGTCTTATCAGCAAAATGGGCATAGTAACACCAAATTTCTCCTGTTTAAAAAATAGCGGGGAGTTTTGGATATACCATTATATACCATGAGAAAGACTTAAAAAAAAATGTTGCTAATTAAGTTGTGGCACATCATCAATTGTGAGGTAAATCCTAGTTTCCGAGATACTAAAATGTGAGAAAAAAATTCTACTTGGAACCAATGATCTTCTCTGACACCTGGCCTGAGTGGTCAGCATCATTTTGAAGAGGCCACCCAAGAGGCCAAGAAAGAACTTCGGAAACAGTGAAGTTGCATGGATGGAGTCTGCCTGGTCTAGGCTCCATGCGCAGTGGTGGCATCATCACCATCACCGTCACCATCACTGCTGCCGTAGGGGAGGACATCCTCTGGGCCTTATGCCATTTCGAGCCCTTTCGGTGCCCTTTCTCTTTAGTCTGCATGATGACCCAGGACGCCAGTGCTCTTACTACTGGAGTGTCCACGCCCTGAGGGAAGGGACTCTGGGCCCTGTAGTATCCCCAGCGCCGAGAGCGGATCCAGTGTGCACCAACTGCTCAGTACACGCTTGTGGAATGTCTGACCCCAGAGGAGACTGAGCACCAAGCGCTACCGTCCTCTGAGTCCTTCTTCTGGGAGATGGCCAAGCCAGGATTCAAACCCACACTCCAAAGCCTGTGCTCATGACCTCCTTTCTGAGGCCAGGCTGCTCCTGTGTGTGTGTTGTAGCAGAGATGCTTGCTGACACCCAGAGGCCAGCTGTGCAAACCTTTTTTCCACCCACCTGTGGATCCTGTCACCCTCTGGGCTTGCACCTGCTGATGGAGACCTGGGTGGAGAATCCAGAGTCCCGACTGCCCACCCCCCACCCCGCCCCCAGTCATTGGCCAAGCCTGGGGGACAGTGGTCACTGGTGGTCATGCTCCAGGCAGGGCAGAGTTGTGAGGAGAAGGGCAGTCCAGGAGCACAGGAGCTTGCGGAGTCTGCTTGTTAGCAGTGTGGCCAGCCTCTCCCTGCCTCAGTTTCCTCGTCGGCCAAGTGGAGGTGTCAGTGCTGCTAATTCACAGAGCTGGCAGGCCGGCTTAGTTCCGTCTTCTGTGTGGAGTGCTCAGGGCCTGGCATTTGATAAGCATTTAATTTGTGGGAGCTGCTGCTGTTGTGGTTTTACTGCTGCTGTTCTCTAAGGAGAATCATGTAAATAATGAGCCCTGTCTACACCTCCACGCCCCCAGCCACTTCTGAGTGGATCCAGTTCTTTAAGGAAGCTGGCATTCCTCCAGGACCTGCTGTCAATTATGCCGTGATGTTTGTGGATAATAGGTAAGGCTGTTGAGGGGACAGGGCTGACCTTGGGGAAAGGAGGGGAGTTAGAGAGCAGGCCGGCCCACCATCCCCGACTCACTTGTGGCCCTTCCCTGCAGAATCCAGAAGAGCATGCTGCTAGACCTCAACAAGGAGATCATGAACGAGCTGGGCGTGACCGTGGTGGGCGACATCATTGCCATCCTCAAGCATGCCAAGGTGGTGCACCGCCAGGTGGGTGCTCTGCTCGATGCCTCTGTTTCTGAGTTTAGGGTGGGATGAAGGGGCGGTGGTAGAACCGACTGGAGGCTTGGATTCCACGGTTGGTTCCACTGCTTGCTGTGTGACGTGGGCACATTGCCTAACCCCTCTGAACCTTACTTTCTCCACTTGTAAAATACACATAGGCAAACCTATTTTGCAGGGGGATTGTAAGTATTAAATTACATAAAGCCCTAGCACAGTGTACACAGCAGAGCCTCGTTAAGGGCTCTCGTAAGTATTATTATCATTATTACTACTCGTTTTTCCTTTCCTCATCATAGTTATTCTGACTGTGACTCTTCTCTGTCCGAAAAACAGGCGCTTCCGAGGTGGGACACAGTTGATGACTTGGCCCAGGACATGGTGGTTCCATTCTTGGGCCTTCTGTTAACAGTGACCTTGGACTAGTGATTTCACCTCCCCCAGTCCCTGAAACAGGCCTTTCACTCAGCCTTTCTGAATGGGGTCTCTGTGGCCGTCCCCCAGATAGTGTAAATGGCACCAAGGGCCAGGCCTGGAGTGAAGAGCTGCTTTAGCTATGATCATTAGCACTTCCCAGGCTCTTGCCATGGCCTGCCGGTCCCTGTCTTCATCCCTTACGCATGTTACCAGCTTATTGACTCCTCCCTCCACTTGACCGAGAGAGAGGCTTGCTGCAGAGCTGTTCTCTCAAGTGCTCATTCTCATTAATTTTTAGAGGCTTTCTGCATTCCAGGGCCAGGCTTTCATCTGCCCATCATCCTGCACAGGACCCTGCAGCGAGGGCTTTCTCAAGCCAGCGATGCTGTCTGAGTTATCCCAGAGGTCATAGAGCAAAATGTGTTCTTTTCTTTAAACTTTTAAATTTGAGACTGATTTTGGATTTGTAGAAAAGTTGCAACAGTAGTACACTGTATTTCTTTCACCCAACTTCCCCTAATATTTGTCAAAACTGAGAAAGAAACTTTACCATGCTATTATTGGGCTTCCCGGATGGTACAGTTGACAAAGAACCCACCTGCCAGTGCAGGAGACGTGAATTCGATCTCTGGGTCAGGAAGATCCCCTGGAGAAGGAAATAGCAACCCACTCCATTGTTCTTGCCTGGAAGATTCCAAGGACAGAGGAGCCTGTCAGGCTACAGTCCATGGGGTCGCAGAGAGTCAGACATGACTGAGTGACAGCATATGCACATGCTGTTATTAACTAAGCTACGGACTACCTGGGTTTCATCCGTTTTTCCACTAATGTCCTTTTTCTCCTCTGGGATACCACATGGCATTTACTTCTTATGTCTCCTTAGTCTCTTTTGATTTGGGACAGGTTCCTAATCTTCCCAAGTTTTAGATGACCTTCACAGTTTTGTAGAGTACTGCTCAGGTGTCCAGTAGCATGTCCCTCAGTTTGGGTTTGTCTGGTACTTTGTTATAAGTTGGGCTTCCCAGGTGGTGCTAGTGGTAGAGAACCTGCCTGCCAATGCAGGAGATGAAAGAGACATGGATTCAATCCCTGGGTCAGGAAGATCCCCTGGACAAGGGCATGGCAACTCATTCCAGTATTCTTGCCTGGAGAATTCCCATGAAATTAGGACCCTAGTGGGCTACAGTCCATAGGGTCACAAAGAGTCAGACATGACTAAAGCGACTTAAAACTTGTAAGTAAGAGCGAAATGTTTTGAAATCTCTTCTCTAACAGCTCAGGCTCTGATCCCCCCAAGTTTTACTCAGATATCTGGGTCCCCTTTTCCTCCACCTCACGTCCCACCCCCATGGTAACCCCAGGCACCTGTTTTCTTTACAGGACATGTGTAAAGCTGCCACTGAGTCGGTGCCCTGCAGTCCCAGTCCCCTCCCAGGCGAGATTCGTCGAGGTGCCTCTAGCGGTGAGTCCTGTCTGTTCAGGCCTCTCTCCTTCATTCCTACACTCTGTAGTGAAGGGGACACACCTGGACTTTGCAGAGGCGGAAGCAAAGCCACCCGGGGCTCTCTTCTCTCAGGGGAAGTAAATGGGGTAGTGAGTGACTGTGCACACGATCGATTTTCGTTCATGGTCGTTCCACTCTGCAAAGCCACTGGGAGCATTGAGTCAGTGACTACTGAGTCACTGCTCCCAGAGAAATGTGGGGTCAGGTTCCTGTAAGCTTCTGGTCACAACATCTTCATCATCTGACCAATGTACAACCTTATTTTATGTGTGTTTCTGTTTTAAAACACCTTCTTTAATATATATTGTTGATTCATTGACAGTGAACTCACAGCCCACAGCACTAAAACTCATGCCTGAATGAAGCTTATCCAACGCACATATTTTTTCCATAAAGCACATCCCAGCCTTCTTGAACTTAGGACACTAGACAGCATCTTATCGCCAGGCTTGGGGACCATTTTAAACAGCAGAATCACTAACAAAAACATAAAGATATGAAAATAACACTGAGGAGACTGTAAACAGATGGCAGATGGTACCACTAAATAAACTTGTTTACTATGTGAGAGCTATGGCAGGAAGGCAGAACATCACCTTGTTTGACCTCAGTTGGGAACGTGCGTTAGACAACTCAGGTTTTTTGTCTCCCTGTGCCTGTCTATAAATGACCACAGAGCCCCACAAGTATTGGTTTTGAGGTTGAATAAATTTGTAAATCTGCCAATTTATAAATACAGAATCTGAATGGTAAGAATCAACTGTATTTATACTTCTGATTTTTTAGCAGTGTGATACTTGAAAAATTTGACATACATACATACATATTGATTAGCCTTTGCTGCTTTACAGGCTTCCCCCAAACTGATATAAACACGCATTTAAAAAAAAAAAATTTATTTCAAAGTAGTTGATTTCTTTTCAGAGTAAGACGTCACCTTTTGCAAAATTTATTTTATTTTTAACACTTTTGCATTTTAGTACTTCAAATCATACTTGTGCACTTATTGATAATGAGGAATTGATCTTCTGACCCAAGGTTTTTAAAGAATTTTTGTTGAAATATACTTGATTTACACTGTTGTGTTAGTTTCAGGTATGCAGCAAAGTAATTCATTTAAGTTACACACACACCCGCACGCACACACTCACCCACCCACCCTTAGTTCCCTGACAAGGGATCAAACCCATGACCCCTACAGTGGAAGCCATTCTTAACCACTGGACCACTAGGAAAGTCCTGGTTTAGGGGAATTGATGTTAAATGGACTGTATAACTTTGGTGTATTTTTCTGTATACTGTAGTTATAGTTAAAAACAACCAAGCAATAGGAAATTATAATCTTGTGTTGAGGGTCATCATGGAGGAGTTCAGGAGGCTTTGAGAGGTAGCACATTGCAGGAAGAGAGAACTTTTGAGGGGGTTAGGTAGGACAAAGTAGGAAAGTCTGAAAGCCATTGTGGGGGGTATTCCTAGGCCTACTGAGCAAGCAGTGGTAGCATGAAGACACCCCCCCCGCCCCCTCCCCTGCAGGGCTCCCCTAGGAGCTCAGGAAACCCACCCCTGAAGCTAGCAGCAGCTGCTCCTGGAGACACGACCCCTTTCCTTCCCAGGCTAGAGCTGGCCCTCCAGTCTGCTCTCTGTAGCCCATCTCGCAACCTGGAACACCCCTTCTCCTGCTCCACAGGAGACAGGGGGTGCCCGAGACTGCTCCCCACCTCAGAGGGAGGTCACCTTTTTTCTTGTCCCAGCCCAACTGGAGCCACACTCATTGCCCAGGGCCCCTGCTGAGTGACCCTCCTCCCAGGGTCCCCCCAGTTTCCTCATCCTTAAAGTTGGTTTGCAGCAGAGCCTGCCTGCTAGGGTTGATGGGAGGTTCAGTGACCCTGATCATCTTTTCAGTAGATATTTATTATTGAAGACCGTGAAGCACTGGGGACACAGCAACAAACAGTGTCTCCTCCCGAGGCTTGCAGGCTCATGGGAGAGTCTGCCAGTAGACAGATAAATGTATTTGAATGTCCAGCTGTAATGGGCTTCCTTGGTGGCTCAGCGGGTAAAGAACCCACCTATAATGCAGGACTCGCAGGAGATGTGGGTTCAATCCCTGGGTTGGGAAGATCCCCTGGAGGAGGACATGGCTTCCCACTCCAGTATTCTTGCCTGGAGAATCCCATGGACTGAGGAGCCTGGCAGGCTATAGTCCATAGCGTCGCATAGAGTCAGACACAGCTGAAGTGACTGAGCATGCACGCACATCCAGCAATAATACGGACTATGAAGAAAGAATAGTGTAGGCTACAAGTGGTAGCGGTTGAGAGAGCCGTCAGGGAAGTTTTCTCTGAGGAGACTGAGTCTGAGAGGAGATATGAATGAAGGGACAATGAATGGACAGAGTACCATTGGTACTGGGGGAGCTGTGAGCCAGCCAGACAGCAGCCAGACAGATAGCAGGCACCCTGAGAAGGTGTGTGCTTTCTGGAGGAGGAAGGTCCTGGAGGAAAGCAAGGCTTTGGGGGAGGGGGAGGGAAGAACTCAGCACAGGGCTGGGTGACTGATGGGTGAAGGTTGCTTGGAACTCATCTGGTCTGGGCTTCAAGAAAGGCACCCCCTTGGGCTGGACTAGTCCCTGGAAGACAGGCCCTCCCCAGGCCTCCCCGTCTTGACAGTACAGCCCATTCAGTCCCGAGGTGGCCTTCCCCATCCTGCCCCCCCTTCCCGGGACCCCATCTCACTGGACTCTCCTCTTTCCTCCTCCTGCCAGCTGCCTCCCGAATGATCACCAACAGCCTGAACCGAGACTCTCCACCCGGCACTCCCCCCAGGCGGCCAGACACCAGCACCTCCAAGATCTCTGTCACCGTGTCCAACAAGATGGCAGCAAAGAGTGCCAAGGCTGCCGGTGAGGAGACGCGGGCAGGGGGAGTCAGGGAAGTTTTCTCTGAGGAGACTGAGTCTGAGAGGAGATATGAATGAAGGGACAATGAATGGACAGAGTACCATTGGTACTGGGGGAGCTGTGAGCCAGCCAGACAGCAGCCAGACAGATAGCAGGCACCCTGAGAAGGTGTGTGCTTTCTGGAGGAGGAAGGTCCTGGAGGAAAGCAAGGCTTTGGGGGAGGGGGAGGGAAGAACTCAGCACAGGGCTGGGTGACTGATGGGTGAAGGTTGCTTGGAACTCATCTGGTCTGGGCTTCAAGAAAGGCCCCCCCTTGGGCTGGACTAGTCCCTGGAAGACAGGCCCTCCCCAGGCCTCCCCGTCTTGACAGTACAGCCCATTCAGTCCCGAGGTGGCCTTCCCCATCCTGCCCCCCCTTCCCGGGACCCCATCTCACTGGACTCTCCTCTTTCCTCCTCCTACCAGCTGCCTCCCGAATGATCACCAACAGCCTGAACCGAGACTCTCCACCCGGCACTCCCCCCAGGCGGCCAGACACCAGCACCTCCAAGATCTCTGTCACCGTGTCCAACAAGATGGCAGCAAAGAGTGCCAAGGCTGCCGGTGAGGAGACGCGGGCAGGGGGCGGCAGGAACTGGAGGCCACTGCGGGTTGGCAGACGGCATCAGGGGGATGTGTTCCTTGACGGTGCAAAGTGCTGTGCAGGCCATGGGGTGTCCACAGTGTTCAGACTCGGTCAGGTCACGGCCCCGCTGGGGGCCTCGCCTTCACGTCTGTCAAAGGGGGCTGGTGCCACCCTCCTCTGCAGACGGTTGGAAGCACTTGAGATGGTGTCTGTGAGCATCATGCTCCCATTGCAGTCCTCACGCAGGGGCCAGTTCAGTCTGTGTCATTTTTATTTTATTGTGGTGAGAACACTTAACATGAGATCTACCTACTTCGTGAAACTTTAAGTGTACAGTACAGTGTTGTTGACTATGGGTGGTTCAGTCTTTTTTTAACAGATGGTCACTGAGCCCCGCACTGGTGCCCGGCCCTGTGCTTGATGCCTGGGGTCAAAGGTAAAGAAGCTATCTTTCCTCTTAGCCACCAGAGGGATCCTTTAAAACTTTTCATCTGATCCTTTCCCACCCTTGTCTAGAACTCTCCAGGGCTTCCCATTGTTGCATTAGTAAAGTCATCTTCCCACATGGCCTTACTGGGCCCTGTGGGTTCAGGTCTTGCCTGCTGCCTCCGTTCCCCTCCAGGCTCCTTCCCATCGTGGGGCCTTGGCCCCAACATCCCCTTCTCCCAGGGCGCTCTTCCTCCATGGACTCTTTTATGCTTGGCCGCTGCTCTTCCAGGTCTCAGCTTGTGACCTGGGAATGGGGCACTGGCCTTTGGGCTTCCAAGCCCGCCTTCTGTCTGTCATGCGCTTCTGCCTTTGTTGAGTCCATCCCCACAGCCCAGGGATCTTGGCCCACGTGGAAAGCAAGGCCCAGGGAGGCAGTGTGGCTATTCTGGTGCCCAGCCCCATCACACCCCATCCACCTCCATCACAGGTGCTCCCTTTCGGCCACATGTGTCTGGAAGCGCCTCCTCCTCATTCGGTTTGTGGGCCATGAGCGAGAAAGTTAAGATTCATTCCTAAAGTAGTGAAAAGATGAGGGGCCTGGGATGGATGGTTCTCTACCCCTCAGCACAGTGGAGGAGATTCAGTTTATTTTTGTAAGTTGAGGTATAATTTACTTTTGCACAATGCACATGTTGTAAGTACATAGCTTGAATGATTTTTAACAAGTGATCATACCTGTGAAGCCATTACCTTGATGGCCTGTCCACCACCCAGCAGTTTCCCATCTGAGTGTATTCTGACTGGCCTGGGAGGCGAGCCTTCTGGGGCAGGGTCAGAGCCACAGAGAGCCCAGGAGGCCAGCCACAGCCTTCTGCAACTCCACTGGGCCCAGACCCCCTGACTTTGTCAATGGTTCAGTCAGTGACCATGGGGGAGGTTGGGAAGAGAGGGGAGTCTGGTCATGGGAACACATGGAGCTAAAGGCCACGTGTGTGCCCTTTGCAGGGCGTCCAGCCCCCCACCCCGAGTGGACATTCCCTCCCAGATGATGCTCACCACCACCCCCTCCCCCAGCAGCCCTGGCACGCCGAGAGGAGGAGAGCCTGAGTGTTCCCACCAAGCGGCGCCGGGTCACGGCCGAGATGGAGGGGAAGTACATTATCAACATGCCCAAAGGCACCACCCCCCGGACCCGGAAGATCCTGGAGCAGCAGCAGGCAGCGAAAGGTACCCGCCTGGGGAGGGGCAGAGACTGTTTCCCTTGTGCTGCGTCTTGCAGGGTTGGTCACGTTCTACAGACGTTGGCCCAGAAGCAGGCTCTGATGGGGATCCAGGGGGCCTTGGACCAAGGAGACAGCAATGGTGACCATAGTAGATAGGATCTATCTACCTCTGCCCTCTTGTCCTGCAGTTAGCATAGCAGAGCTCCTCAGTGCCTCAGCTGGCGTCTCTTCCCTGGGGGACAGTGGCACGGATCCAGTGCTGGCCTGCCTGCTAACTGAGTGACCGTGCCTGGCTGACAGTGCCCCAAACAGTAGGAACCATCGTGATGAGCCAGAGGGGTCAGGTTGAGATTCCATCCAGAGCTGGAGTTTATCTGGTGGTATGAAGATGCTCTTCTTTACAGCCATCCTTTTGTGCTCAGTTGTGGCTACTCCTTGCAACCCCACGGACTGTGGCCCACCAGGCTCCTCTGTCCATGAAATTGTCCAGGCAAGAATACTGGAGCTGATTGTCATTTCCTTCTCTGGGGATCTTCCCAACCCAGGGATTGAACCCTCGTGTCTTATGTCTCCTGTATCAGCAGGTGGATTTTTATTCCTGCTGAAGCCCTGCGTTCTTTGAGAACATTGTGCATGTTCTCATGGGAAAACATTCAGTGGATGCAGAGGCAGTAAAAACAAACTCCGGCTCCTGTATCCCACACGTACTGTGAACCTTTCCAGAACAGCATCTGTGAACTTAAGTGCATCTGTTTGTGTGTTTACATACATCTTGGCTTTTTTTTTCTTTTTAAGCACAAATAGTCTCATCCTGTATGTATTGTTGTATAAGGTTTTATTGAGCTCTTTTCACATTAATGCATGTGGATCTGCTTCATTCTTTCTAATGGCTGTTCAGTGTTTCCATACATACTTCTGTATTGTAATCTAGTAAACATTCTGTTGATGGCTCTTCAAACTGTTATCTAGGGAGGGTATTACCATTCATCAGATTCTCTCAGAGGCCCAAGGCCCGCAAAAGAGGGGACAGAAGCAGTAGGGCTTTAGAACTCTACCCGCACATACAGTTCAAGAATTGGTACCAAGGGGTAAGGACCGGAAGTGTCCCTTTTAATTGATCCTTCTCACATTTGACATTCACCAGAAGTGTGGGGGTTAAGGTCAGTGTTAGCGGACAACATAGACATAAAACCTGACTCGGTCCAGCGTGTGCCTGCTTGGACCAGAGCTGCCTGGGGTCTAGGCTGGCCGTGATGACTCCTGCCCGTCTGCTTGGTGCTCAGCCGGGCGTAGGCCTGCAGGAGCCACCCCCCCAGGCATTGGCTAATGACCTTACTTCCCTCCCAGGTCTCCACAGGACATCTGTGTTTGACCGCCTCGGCGCTGAGACCAAGGCAGACACCACAATGGGGAATAAAGTGAGTGGGAAGTGGGGGAGCCCCTGGGGACTCTCAAAGCTTTGTCTTCCCTGAGTGTCATTCCTGACACTTCCTGCATACACCTCACCCTGTCTCATGTACCTTTCCAGGCCGGTGCCCTCGTCTGTACTCCCTGTCTGTCTGCTACCCCGATCTCTCTCCCGATTTCTAGCTCCAGGGCTCCGGCGGACCCCTGGACAGTGCCCTGGGACCCCTCCCACCACCGTGTCCCCTAACTAGCGTCAAATCTTGCTCCAAAGTACATCCTCCTCTTGTCTCAGGGGCTCCATGCCCCCCTTCCAGGCAGTCTCGAGTCTGAGGGCACCATCTGTCTCCTCCTGTCTGCTGCCTCGTCCCGTCGGGATGGGCAGCGGCCTCTTAGCTGGTGTCTGTGCAGCTCCAGAGAAAGCCCTCCAGCCCCTCCCACAGCAGCAGCGCCTACAACCCACAGGACAGGCCCCTTCTGCCCTCCTCGCCCACTGTAAACCCTTCAGAGGCTTTTCACCAGCCCAGGATGCAGCCCGATTTTCTCGCCTCCACTTGCAGTCCCGCAGGCTCCAGGCTCGGCATGCAGTTAGGAGACGCAGCCTGAGCCCGTCGCCTGGCCTGAATCCTGCTCTGCCATTGTCTGGCTTCGTGGCCTTGACCATTTCACCTCAGTTTCCTCCTCTGTATAGTTCCTGCCTCACAGGGTGGTCGTGAGGACTCATGAGGTGTACCTGTGTGGCGGGGTCTGTCTGTCTGGTCGGCATCTATTTTTTTTTTGGCCACAGTGAGCGGCACATGGAACTTTCCCTACCAGGGCTCGAACCAACACCCTCGGCAGTGGAAGCACAGTCTTAACTGCTGGACCGCCGGGGAAGTCCCTGGTGAGTGTCTTGAAATGGCACCTAAGATTCACGCTGGTCAAGTTTGCCAGCTGCCTTTCCTTCCTGCTCACCAGGGCTCACCCACTCTGGCTTTTTTCTCATTTCCTAAATCTTATCGTGAGCGTGATTGTAATGCTCAGGATCACCTGGCATAAAGATGCCGCCATGGAAAGAGCTGAGCACATAGCAAGTACCCCATAAATATGATTCTTACTCATGCCTGGGGGACTTTGATGGCACGCTTTACTCTGCTTAAACACTGAAGCCTCAGAGAAAGCATCCCTGAACTCAGCGAGGAGACGAGGCTTCCCTGTCTGCAGCTCTCCACTGCCCCCCACCCTCCCAAGCACACAGTCCTATCGTCACTGGAGAATTACTTGTGTGAGATCCGATGCCGGCTCTGTCTTCCCCGCTGGACTGTAAGCCCCCTGTGAGTGGGGCAGGGCCCGTCTTGGTCAGCACTGAGTCACCAGCAGTGCCCAATACAGGGCCAGATGTTGAGTTGGGACTCAGAGATCATTTGTGGGGTGATTGACCAAATTCGCCTTTTCTCTGTCGTCCTCTGTAGACCTTCGCAGACAGGTTTCCCTTTCACCTCCCCTCTCCCTCCTGCTCTTTATTTGACTCACGTCCACTCAGCTCTCAGATCTCATCCTAGGTTTCCCTTCCCCAGGGTGCCTTCCCCTAACTTCGGCAGGGAGGGGTCTCCTCTGGGCTCCCCCCGTTCCCTGGACTGGGTCTCTCCTGGCTCTCATCACTATCGAGTATGTCAGTGAGGGGTGCGCTTCCCAACTGCGAGCCCCACGAGGCCCGGCACGGGTGAGGCAGCTCCGCGGTTACAGTTTGAGTGGCTCAGTGGCTCACCTGCCCTGTCTGTGACCCCCACAGCCCACCGGAGTCTTCAGCCGCCTGGGGGCCACCCCCGAGACAGACGATGACCTGGCCTGGGACAGTGACAACGACAGCAGCAGCAGCTCTGTCCTACAGTACGCCGGGGTCCTGAAGAAACTGGGCCATGCCCCCGCCAAGGCCAGCCCGCAACCCGCACTGCCTGTCAAAGCCAAGGCAACGAGCTCGGCGCCAGCCACTGCCACCCCCACGCTGCGGCGCCTGGCCCTCTCCTCGCGCCCGGCGCCCGAGAGGAAGCCGGAGGCCCTGTCCAAAGTCAGCATCATCCAGAGACTGGGCAAGCCCGCCCTCGTACCCGAGGCCCAGGACAGCCAGGTCACCAGCACCAAGAGTAAGTCCTCCGCTGAGGTCAAGGTCACCATTAAGAGGACTCTGGTGGGGCCCCGGGGGAGCAGCTCCAGCGAGGGCCTGGGTGCCCAGATGGACCACGCGGGCACCGTGAGCGTATTCAAAAGACTGGGCCGGAGGACCTTCTAGCCCAAGGGCGGGGCGCAGGCCCCTCTCCTGACTCCCGGCTCCGTCAGTCTTCAGCGAGGGCGTGTTACCCCTCCCCGCCGGCTTCGGGACGACTAGTCGCCCTCAGGTGTTCTGCCGGCCTGAGCTTTCCGGGGAGCCACCTGGGTGTTCTGAGTCCGAAAGGGTCGCCGTGGCCGGCCTTGCCGCTCTGGGACTTCCCTTCTCTCCCGTCCTCTGTTCTCTCCTCTTGACTGTGGCCTTGGCAGGACCCCCCCCTTTTACCTCTCCCAGTGCCAAGGACCCTTCTCCTCCCTCCATGCCCTTCCTCTCTCCCAGCAGCATCTGCTGCCTCAAATCCCCGTTCTGCGGCCTCCCTGTCCCCCAGAGTGGGTGCACCCCGAGAGGCCTCTGTGTCCCCCACCCGTGACTTCCTTGCCCGCCTGCCTCTGCCCACCCCCCACTGCTTTGCCCTCCCCCGCTCTCTCCCGATCTTCACTCTGTTCGTTTCTTTTCTGTTTTCTGTCCCCGTGGCAAGGCCCGACTGTCCGCTGCGTCCTGCCTGACCCTCCTGCACCTCCGGCCTCCCAGCGGCGCCCTCGTCGGCGGTGGCGTCGAGCCAGTAGAGACTGTTAGCCGCCCTCACTCCCAGGCTGGAGGGACCTCCCCAGACCCCGGGCTGCGGCCAGGGCACCCGTCTGGGCCTCTTTTCTCCCTGAAAGTCTGTGGCGGGTGGCGGGTAAGGGGCACTGAGATGGGAAGCCAACACCGAGAGAAGAAAACAGCTATTTTAATATATTTTTGTGACTTTCAGACTGTTTCCCTCCCCTCCTTCAGGGTGAGTTGCAGGATTGTTTTTTACACGAGGCACAGGGTAGGCTTGGCGCCCATGGAGAGTTGGGCCAGCTCCCTCACACCTGTAGGCCGTGATTTTGCTGCCAGCTCTGGGGTGAAGGGAGTAACAGTCATGGTCAACATCCACTTGGGCCACCTCCTCCTCCTCTGGGCAACCCGCAGGGGTTCTGTCCGTCTGCCCTCCTCTTCATAGGTTTCCCCCATTTCTGCCAATCTGCCTGTGAATGGTTTTCCAGATCACAGCTCCACGGTGAGGCTGTGGGTGCCTGTGGACTGGGTTGTTCACCCGCTCCCTGCTGTATGGTATCTGCTGTCTGCCAGGCCCACTCTAGGGGCTGGGGCTCCATCCATGAGCCAGACAGACCTGTCCCTGTCTGCGTGGCTGACCTTGCCAGCCAGAGAGACAAGCGGTAAAGTGATGACGCTACTCAGAGTCGGAAGGAAGGATGAACGCCCGTGATCAGGGTCTCTAGATGTTTGGGGTAAGAAAGCCTTTCAGAGGAGGTGACCTGTAGGGTAGTTTACGTGAAGTTCAGGAGCAGAGTGCTCAGGCAGGGTAAACAGGCAAGGCCAGGCCCTGAGGTGGGGCCGGGGGGACACGGAGGAGACCAGCGTGGCTGGTGACCGAGTGAGTGAGTGACGGGCCTAAGGAATTTGAACCTCTTCCCGAGAGCGTTGAGTTTGGCAGGGTTTGAGGCAAACAAGTGGTGATCTGAGTTGCCTTGTGTGAAGGTTGCTGGGGCCACTGTGAGGAGGAGAAGTTGTCGGGAGGGTGGGATGGAGGCAGGGAGGCAGCCTGGAGGGGGAGTGGTGGGCTGGGGAGGAGAGGCAGAGGTGGACTTTGGGGTGCCTCGAGAGGGGCAGCAGGATTCTCCCTGCGGATGGTTGGAATTTGGGAAAAGAAAAGGGGCTGGATCACGCCTGGATGGGGCACTTGAGCATCCAGAGAAACATGCTGTTTCGTAGCCCTGGATGGGGCGGGAGGGCGCTCAGGTTTCACCGGGTTGACTGAGAGGTGAGCAGTCTGTGGGGAATGCTCAGGGCCCAGCCATGTTTGCAGCGGCGGGCCTGGTGATACCAGCTACAGGAGAGCACAGAGAGAGGAGGGGACCCAGAAGGGAGTGGGGGTGCTGTTCTCACCTGGAGAATAGTCTCTGACAAGGAGATTACCAAGGAGTGGTCAGGGAGTTAGGAGGAGAACTGAGAGCAGGTGAAGGTGAGGTTAGACTGCATCCTTTTTTTTTTCCCATTTTCCATTTCAACACAACACCGACCATTTGAACCGTTCTTACGTGTCCTCTTCAGTGGCACTAAGTATATTCATACTGTTGTATAACCGTCATCCATCTCCAGACCTGTTTTTGTCTCCATAAATAATCATCCACCTATTTTTAGTTTGTCGGCGACGTCATACTGGGAGGCTACTGCTCGTCAGGCAGAGTCCCACGCACTGGGCCTGTGGTGTGAGGGGCCGGACTTCAGTATGAGGGGCAGTGATAGAGCAGCCATAGCTCCCCTCTCCTGGTGAGGGTCCAGGCCAGACCGTCATGGGGCTGGTTGAGGTTGCTGACCTCAGGACAGCAAAGGATGGTGATGTCAAGATCCCAGAGGCCGCCCGTTTGTGTCAGGGCCACAAGGAGGCGCTCACACACAGAGGCACTTTCCATGTGGTTCTTCACCTCTTCTTTTTTTTCTTTAAAAACCCTCCTAGTGACTTCCTTGAGTTCCACTTCATAGATAATTTCATCAACTGCCAGGGTTGCCTGAAGGGTTCCAGTTACTAAATTTAAGAGCACAGGGTAATTTCTTAATGCATAATAGGAACTAAAATGACATAAAAATGTGTAGCTCACTTATCACGACAAGCTTACCTGCCGTGAGGTAAGTCGAGGCACTGTTGCTCCTTACAGAGGCTCGGAGGGGGCAGACAGCCGGCGGGTGGCGGCACTGGGTCTGACGTTGGGAGGTGAGCAGGCGCCTCGCCCCTCAGCCCCGGCCCTGTGCTGCCTCACCTGCAGATCGGAAACAGGGCCCCTTTTTGTAAAGGGGAGGGCAGGGTCCTGGGAGAGTGGTTTTGGGTGTCCTCGAGTTGAGTGTACACGCTACCCCGTCACCTACCCCAGGGAGCACTTGGAGCTCTGGAAGGCCATGGGCCTTGAGGGCCGTGCCCACCCTGCCACCGCCTGCCTGACAGAGTGGAGCCGGACCCCTCAGCCGCCCCAGCGTCCCACCCGTTTGATTCGGCGATTCTCCCAAGCCAGCCCCAACAGCTGTGGCCCACAGGGGTGTATTATTTCTTCCTCTGGTTCTCTGAAACATTTTCGAGAGTAAGTATTGGGTTGGCCAAAAAGTTCATTTGGCTTTTCCATAAACATCTCACAGAAAAACCTGAACGAAATTTTTGGTCACCCCAAAGACTACGTACACCCAGTACAAAATGCCAAGATACAAAGGCTTCACAGTGAAAAGTTCTTCCCAAGTCTCCTAGCTTCCCAGCCCCCTCCTCAGAGGCCACCAGTGTTGCGAGTGTCTTGGATCACCCTTCCAGAGATGTGTCTGTGTGTGTGTGTGTGTGTGTGTGTGTATACACACACACACATATGTGCATGCATACATATAGCCAGAGGAACACAATACACACAGATGTGCACACGCATGTTAATGACCTGGCTTACTCAACCAGTCCTTTAGGAAAGGGAATTCACGTTGTTTCCAGTTCCTTGTTATTACAGGTAGTGCTGCTGTGGGGAAAGGTGGGTTTGGTTCAAGGGTAAATTAGAAGAACTCCAGTGACACCACTTCAGTGCAAACACTGATGTTGGGTCAACAGCACATCCCAATGAGGTTCTCCCCCAAAAGTCTTGGCATTCTTCAGTTGATTTACTTATACATGTATCACCCCATTCCAGAGAGGAATTAAGAGCAGTTAGACCTGTCTAATTGGAGGCCACTGCAGGAAGAGGATCAGGGGATGTGCAGAAGTAATGCGGACCGCCACCCAGGTGCCAGGAAGTACAAAGTATGTGCTTTACTAAGTTAATTAGACTTAAGAGGTCTTTGCACATGTGGAGCCTGCCTGTTTATGCTGCTTCTGGGAACCCTGTATCCACCACTGTGGAGATGAGCCTGGGCTAGGGAGCTGCATGAGAGATACGTGGCGTGGCCAAAAAACAAAGTAACCTTCGTATGGAACCCCAATATATAAAACATGTTTAAAAGAGAAAAGCAGTCATTTATTAGTATACATTTATCTGATTATTTTGCATTAATTCATGCAAACAACACAAAATTCAAAGGTACAAAAGGATGTATACAATAAGACTTTTGTGCCCAGTGGACTGGCGAAAAGATTAAAGTCTCAAGTGTTGGGGAAGATGTGGGATAGTAGTAGTGTGTAGACTGCTGTTGGAATGTAAGCTGGCATCAGCATTTTGGAAAACAGTTTGATATGTTGTAGCATAATTGAAGATGACATATTCGCCAATCCACCAGTTACCATTCTGGAGAAATTTACACATGCATCCAGGGCAGGTATCAGAATGTTTGTAAGATCACTGTTGTAATAGCATAAACTTAGAAACAACCCAGATATCCATTCAGCTGGAGAGTGGGCAGGTTGTAGCATAGATATTCTAGTTACCTAATGCATAGTGGATCACCTCAAAACTTAGTGGCTTAAATCAATAATCATTTCCTGTGGTTCTGGGGGGTTGACTGTGCTCAATTAGACTGTTGTAACTTGGGGCGCTCATGTGCTTGGTGTAAGATCTTGTCTGGGGCTGGTGTCCTCTTGAAAACCTCCTCAGGTGTCTGGTGGTTAACCAGTACTGGTACTGAGATAAAACCTCAGCGTGGGCTATTAGCCAGGATGCCTACATACGGCTCCTCCATGTGACCTGGGCTTCGTTACAACGTGGTGGCTGGATTCAAAGTGCGCTCTTCTCAAGAGAGTCAGGGAAAAGTATATCACCTTTTCCAACCCAGCATTGGAAGTCACCTTGCTTCATTTCTCCCACAGTCACTAGCCTGCCCATATTCAAGAGGGACCACAAGCCGTGGCTCTCAAGGAAGGAAAGTCAGTTTCTCGTTGTAAGAGGGATGAGAGATCATCTTGAAAAATTAGACGTCAACCCTGGTTGTATGATGTATTGAGTGTTGATATTAGATGAAAACTAAAGTTGTGCATATCAATATGAATAAAGCAAAACACTGAGTGGTAAAAGCAAACTACAGAAGAATATGTGCAGTGTAAAGATACGCGGAATAGGGCGTTCACTGGTGGCTTAGTGGTTAGGATTTCTGGGCTTTCACTGCTGTGGCCCGGGTTCAGTCCCTGGTCAAGGAACTGAGATCCCACAGGCTGCACAGCCAACAACAACCAAAAAAGCAAAATAATGCATGTTGGTTACAGATACTTAAGAGTGTAGTAAATGTATCCAATGCATGGGGATGATAAATCCCAAGTGAAGGATAGTAGATCCCTCCTGCTGTGGGATGGAATGTGATTGGAGGGGTGCACATGGGGTCCAACAGTATGGTAGTGGTTTTAAACCTGTGGGCACCCAGGTGGTCATTGTGTTAATACTCTCTGGGTACCTGATAGCAATTAAAAAATAACAATTCTCTCCCCTACTCTAGATCCCTCAGCCATGGAGTTTTCCTCTCCAGAAGCCATCAGTATTACTGGGGTCTTATGTGTCCTTCCAGAAACATTTCATTTACAAATGTAACTATATTTTTTTCCCACTCAGATGGTAGCATATTTGATAGTTTTATATTTTGTTTTTTTTAAATGATTATTAATACTTTATATCCTGGAGATCATTGCATATCAGTACATAACGAACTTAAAAAAAACATTTTATTGAGATATAATTTACATATGAGACAATTCACCCATTTAAAGCTCATGTTTCAGTGACTCTTATTCACAGAACTGTGCGTCCATCACCATAATTTT